CTCCAACTCCAACTCCTGCCACTGGCACATTTCTTCCCATGAGCCGGCGGCTTTATGTACTGTTGCAGGCACGTTGTACGTTGTTTTTTCACTCCTTATATTTGGCAGTTGCACAGCGCAAATATACGGATAGACACAATGCCTTAGCCAGCCACTGTTGGTACATGCCACCGCCACCGCCACCGTCCGTCTGGCTGTTGTTGTCGCTGCCGCAATGCAGTGGATTCGGCAGGACCCCTTGGTTTTGGCCTGGCCAACACGTGACTGACCTCCTCGGCTGGGTTTATTTTCGGGGGGGAGGGGTCGTGGTAGGAGGATGGATGTTGGGCGCCATTTTCATTTGTTGATGCGGTCGAGCAGCGTCCCTGCACTTTTGCGGCCACAAAATGTGAGCATCAAATATTGAAAACATTTCCCCGACCGGGTTGCACAGTTTTTATGGCTGCCACACAGTGAATGTGCATGTGGATGTGGATGTAAATGTGGACCCCAGTGACATGGCCAAAAAGAGCTTTTTTGGCAGATATTCCGAAGGCTAGACCCGCCTGATTGGTTTCTTGGCAACAAAACCCCACTGAAGTGCCCCAACCCGTTGCTGTTTACTCAAATAAACCCGACTTGCAACTTATTGCCATGTTATCTTTGATTTTGGCCCCGGCACAGCGGCAATAGGACGCAGTCCGGTTTCTCACAAAAAAATAGGGGACAACGCCTTGCCACGTGACTCTATTTAAGATATGACTGGAGATGCACTTTGTTTATTCGAGGCTAAGAGCACAGATAGCTTATCTAATAAAGCTCAGCGATTAAGGGGAATAACCTTTACAAAATACGGTTTTAGATCTGTATTTTATTTCTCTTAATTTATGTTACATATTGATCTGCTTTCATTCCCAACACAACTAAAATGAACTGGAGACAGCAATAACGTTACTCGAGCAATTTTTGTTCATCTAATTCTTAACTAAAATCCAATCTTTCAAGAGTAATATAACAGGGCACCCAAATGCAGGCAGCAATTAAGATTTATCCTTATTGCACTTCCACTTAAAGGATTTCTAATATTTCATTAAACACTCTTCTGTAGTCCTTCATAAATTACAATAAATTTTATTCATTTAAAACTCTCTTGAGGGGGAAATGACCTCATTCCCCTTCCCTCAAAATCTGCACCGTTGTCTGCCGCCTCTTAGACGCTGCCATCTAATTTGCTTGGTTTGCCTGCACTTTGCTGGGAATTTGTTCGTTGTCGCAATGCCATAAATTGTGCAACTTATGCGGCCAACTGGCCGTCTTCTAGTACCCCAACCCCTCTACCCCTTTTGGGGCTATAAATTACAAGAAGGCATTTGCCACACTTCCGTTCGGAGGCCCTCAGGTCTGCAGTGTCTGCAGTTTCCACTCCGTCCACCAGGCCAGGCTGGAGTTATTTTTGCGCTTTAAATCGGCTTAACTGGCCGCCGGAGTGATAGTTGGCTCATCTGGGCACCAGGGGAAGGGTCTGAAAATCAATAAGCCCAAGGAACGACCATTGTTGTCGCCGTTGTCCATGGCAATAACATTTAAATGCCCTGGGCTTCTTGAAATTCACATTGCGAAAGCCTGAAACTTTAACACTTCCTAGCATGGCAAACAACCCCAAACTTGGACCCCCTTGTTGTTGATGTTGTTGTTGTTGTTGTTGTTGTTGTTGTACGTACCCCCACCGAGACACTCATTCGTAGTTTCTACAGTCTGGCTTCAGTTGGCAGACAGGGGCGGCGAAGTTACAAAGGGGGGCGGTCTTGTAATTCTAGACCAGACTGCCGGTGGCGGCGGCGACGCTCTGTCTGCCAGACAGACGTGAGTGACGAACAAATATGGCAAAACGATTTATTTGGCTTTATCAGCAATTTTGATTCTTCTTTGTCTCCCATCGAAAGAGTCGCATTAAGTGTTCCGGCTGCGTTGCGGCGATTTGTCATATCGCTGATTTACTAACCTTACACCAGGCATTATCTCTTGGCAAAGGAGTCCGCTGCCGGAATGGTGGAATCCGGTGTCGAACCACCCCTGCGAGCGGCTGCAGGGTGACTGTTTTTTTTTTTTTTGTTTTCTTCATTTTCATTTTATTTTTTATCCGAGGGTGTAACTAACCGAGTCACAAGTGCAGGGAGCAGGATATGCCTGAATGTGTATGTTTGCGCATATCGCCGGCATCAACATCAAATTTATTGAGGTAGTTGCCATGCGGCCACGGCAAACAAAACGAACATGCTAAAAGAAATGTTCTTTAACATGCAAACGTTTCTTTGTTTTTCCATTTTTTTGTTATTACTACTTCTTTTATGTGCGGAATGGACAGAGTTGCCACTGCCGCCGGGTCAAACAAGCGACTACCCTGTTGCCATAACAAACATGCATAAAAAATGATGACACGGGCAGCAAACAAGCAGAAAATAGCAAGTGTTGCAATTGAAAGCGCTTTTTTAGGCCAGCCTACGTTAGGGGAAGTCACCTGAATAGCTCCACTTTCTGGCCTTTGGACTGAATGAGCCGTGTCCTTAAACTGGTGTCCTTTTCTGCAGGCCACACAACATACACACTGCGGGAGGGCCAGGCTTTAGGCAGGACCATGGCAACTCTGCGTATACGGATTGCCCTTTCCTTTTACCGATATTTCGTTGCAATCCTAATGGAATTTCCTGCGTTGTTGTCTACTCCTTTCAACTGGCCTCATATCCATTGGCCGTGTTTATTATTCATTTCCTTGCAGGGCCTCGATGGGGCGCTTTTCCTGCACATTTTCATGGCACTCCCCGGTGCTTGGCCTTTTGTGAGCTTCCCTGCGGTTGTCGCCAACACTTTCCACTTACAGCTCGCTGCGTTTCGCGCCCAACAAGTCTACAAATATAAATATATATACATGTTGTACATGCTCCATATACATAGGTTCTCGTATTGGGAAAATAAAGAGGAGAGGAGGTCTGTTATTGTTGTCACGGGCTGACTGGTTCCGTTTATTGTTATAGCGCACATTGCATTCTGTTGCTGCAAAACTGCTGCAGTTGTCATAAATATCTGGCAGGCTTTAGTCTAAATACTTGCTAAAGGATTGCCACCTAGCCACCTACCCCAACATCGAATCGTAGTTGGCTCTATAAGGCAACTGTCAAATGTCATTCGAGTATGACTTGGTGTCGGTCTCACAAATTTATTTCTATTCAGTCGTGAAAATTTTTAGCCGTCTTTCGAATCTTTTCGGAACAACTACCTTTCTGACTGTTGATTAATATTCGAAAAAGAAAAAGAAAAAACGCATAGATAATAAAATTCTGAAATTATAACAACACACATTAATTGCAAGCGAAATTCCAAGTCATCGAAGGAAATTTAAAAATTCTTTAATTGTTGTTGAACGCCTGTGATTTCCGAAATGGAGCCCGATGTTCAGAAGGATGCAGGAGGTGGCGAGTCCCCGATCCGCAGGCTTCGTAAGACCCGCTCTGCGATAACGATTCTTAGCCCAATGGCCACTTCCAGCAGTGAGTATGTCCAAGCGGCCCCGATTTCAATCGAAAAGTATTTCAATGTCAGTGAAAACGAATTAGATGGCATACAAAATTCGCAATAAACCTACTGATTGAAGAGGAGAAAGAACTAGGGACAGAGAGACGGGGAGACGGGGAGAGAGCAACAAACAAAAAGCGTAACGATAGAAAAAATTTCAGAAATGTTCGGGCTAGCTCATAATTTAGTGGGTCGCTGGTTGCGTTGCCTCTCCCGTTCTTTTTGCGATAGAGCTGCTGATATTTTGCACATGTTACGCAATTATCGCTCTTGACTAGTTGGTGAGGTCCCATTCGCCGCCCCACCCCTTGCCCCTCATTTCTATTTCGTTTCTGTGTTCTCTTGCTTCGTTTTTTGTTTGAACGTCAAACACACACGCATACACACGCCGACATACGTGTGAATCAAAATAGCATTTGCTGATTGTGTGACTGCTAAGGTAGATTTCTATGCTATGCGACATGTATGGGTGAACGTTTGCCACTTGACAACGAAGGAAAATTTACATTTTCATTATGAGTGTGCCATAAATATTCATTTATGATAAATTTCTAATTGCAGCTGCACTTGCATCTAAAACAGCTCATATTCTCAGTCTTTCAGCCAACTGAATTCTGCTGCAGAAATACAAAATATATGTATATCATACTGCTTCAGCATATGGAATACCTCGTGTTTTGCTAATTGTTCTTATTAAATTCTCAAATTTATAGGCATTAAAATAGATACTTTAGTAGTTACCGTATCTTACAGCTATCAGCTTACTGTCAAGTTCAATATTTAACTAGTAAAAACCAGGGGCACTTAACCCGTCAATAAAATCAGCGGTTACCATGGCAACTAATACGTCATGCTTATCAGATTTTCTTACTAGGTGAACCACAGCGCGTATACATAACGCGTCACGCACAATTCGCAAAACGCGCCTCAATTCGATTGTTTACATTTTGGTCAACACGTTTTTTTACCGCTCTCCCTTCTCTCTTCTTTTCTCTTCGGTTCACGCACTTTTCGGTGCTGATTTTAAGGCTCTTTCTCTTGATTTTCTGTCACTTCTGGATCGCCAGCTCGTGCGTTACGCATTTTGTTTGAAGTCAATGAACTTTTTCGCTTTGTTGTCTACTCTCCCATGCTCACTCTCTATTTATTTCGACATTTATCTCATTCTACAAGTGCGTGCGGCGGTGCGTAAGTTGCGAAATTTTTTTGTATTTCGCACATTCTCGCGACCTATTTTCCAAGCAGTCGCAATATGTTGCTATTTCTTAGCGTTCGTTGAACTGTACAAAGTGAGTTTATAGGTCGCTTTAAATTGTGGGTCCACATTTGGTAATATACATTTTAAGAATATCGATTAAGATTAAAAACTACGGAATTTTGATAAAATGACATGTTAATGTTATTATTTTGTGCTTGCTTTATTTATGTTTATATTTTAATTTCGCTTTCAGAAATGGCGGAGGGTAATGGCGAACTGTTAGATGACATTAATCAGAAAGCCGATGACCGTGGCGATGGCGAGCGTACAGAAGACTATCCCAAGCTGCTGGAATACGGTCTGGACAAGAAAGTGAGTGTTATTTAGGTAGTCCATAGGACAATAAGAAGCATTTCAATTGCAAAATGTTCGCTTAGGTCGCCGGTAAACTGGATGAAATTTACAAAACCGGCAAGTTGGCTCACGCCGAGCTGGACGAGCGCGCCCTGGACGCGCTCAAGGAGTTTCCCGTCGATGGTGCCTTGAATGTGCTGGGTCAGTTCCTCGAATCGAACCTGGAGCATGTTTCGAACAAGTCCGCCTACCTATGTGGCGTGATGAAGACGTACCGCCAGAAGAGTCGAGCCAGCCAACAGGGCGCGGCTGCGCCCGCCGCTGCCGTTCAGGTCAAAGGTCCCGACGAGGACAAGATCAAGAAGATCCTCGAGCGCACCGGCTACGCATTAGATGTGACGACAGGTACGAAGCAAAAAAAACTATTAAAATATAGTACTAAATTTTCCAAAACATATTCTTAAATCTATTCTCATAATTTCCATTTAATTTACCCTCGTTAGGCCAGAGAAAATACGGCGGACCGCCACCGGATTGGGAGGGAAATGTGCCGGGAAATGGTTGCGAAGTTTTCTGCGGCAAGATACCCAAGGACATGTACGAGGACGAACTGATTCCGCTCTTCGAGAACTGCGGCACAATCTGGGACCTACGCCTCATGATGGACCCAATGACGGGCACAAACCGTGGTTATGCATTTGTCACATTCACAAATCGCGAAGCGGCCGTCAATGCAGTGCGACAGGTATTTAAGCCAACCACAGACCCTTCATACCACCACCACCTCCACCAAGACCCACCCGCCCTCTCCGACCTCAATGAACCCCCCTTCAACCCCCCAAATCCCGAATCAGTTGTCCCCGCTTCAATGTTTTTTACGTATTGCTAACTCCTACGATATATACATATCCTATATATACTATATAAACATATTTAACGTATTGTATCCACATATTTTACGCTCGTGTTAAAACACATCGAAAGAAGTAGGAACAGTTATGCGGCCAAAACAAAATTGAAGCATCTAAAATTCTCCACAGCAAGACCGAAAATTACCGATATGATCTAACCGATTTGGCGCTTCTAGATCAGAGACCACAGAAATTATGCAATTTTATTTATTTTCTGTAACGCTAACTTTACCTCTGCCTTCGCTATATTCAAATTTGAACTACAGGCAACGCTATCTGTCTCACTCTCTCGCTGTCTCTCTCTACTCGATTTTTCTGTAACTTATATTATGCATGTCCCGTCTTCTATGAGTTGTAATCTTAATTTAGTAAACGAAACTCTCCAGCGCCTTTGAATCGTTTAAATTGCAAGTTTGAAAAGAGTTCTCTTTCTCTACGAATAAAATATTTGGCCTCCTCCCTGAAACAAACACTCTCCCCAGTCCTCTCTACTCTATATCTGTATTATTTTCTTTTTAGTTTGAAATTACTCTAGTACTAAGTCCAGCTATGTAGCTATCACCTTTTGTAGTCAACTAAGCAGCGTACGTTCAATCTCACTGTCTGGTTTTATTTAGACGAGCATGACCAAAATTCAGACCATGACATAGCATAGGGTGGCAAAAAAGGCCTCCGAATGTTGTCTACTGCCTTAACCAGTTAACCACTAACAAATGTTTTTCCTTTAACATTTCCAAACTGAAACTCAACCGAAATTCTACGCGGCCCGCTTCGAAATTGGTAAACAAATAAAATGTTTAACAAACCTTAACTTTTTATTTAACCCCTCCCTATTCTTATTATAACCCTTATTTGCCTTAGTTCAAAATTATTTATTAGTTATGATTTTATTAATTTATTATTAACATTGAATTGGTATTAAAAGAATCGTTTTACCTTCCCTCCCACAATCTAGCTCGATAATCACGAAATAAAACCCGGCAAGTGTCTGAAAATAAATATAAGCGTACCGAATCTGCGCCTTTTTGTAGGCAATATTCCCAAGTCAAAGGGCAAAGATGAAATTTTAGAGGAATTTGGTAAACTTACAGGTAAATTGACAAACACGACATTAACCAAAAATCTATTTTAAATTACCTTCACTGGAGTTGCGTTTCGCAGCTTCACAATCGGCATTTAAACTGTAAACAAAAATCCAATTGGCTAAACCAACAGAAATTGGCTTATTGCGAAAGTAAGACTGTTATGCTAGGTTAGAAAGGGTCTTAGGATTTTAAAATTCAGTTTATTTTATATGTATGTTTTTGTTTCAACTCATCCTTACTATTCACCCTCAACCTCAAGCCATCCAAACACCCGCCATTGCCATCTCAACACTTCGGAAAAAATAGAAAAGTGTTCTTCCCTGAAACCAAAAATCGAGACACTCTTTTCAAATGTGCCATCGCTCCATGGTAGAAATCGAACCACAAACATCGTCGGGTGCATATTTCTCAGTTTCATCATATGTATATGTTGCCTCATATATAGCACAACACTCACACAATCACACCGACACATACATACCCACATAGATACAGCGACACGCCCATTTGTCTCATTGCCATTCGTTACAAGCTTGGATTGTCGTATAAGAATATTTCTTTTCAACTTATTTACATAATATCTCCAGTCATTAACTTTGCCTACAAAAAAAAGAACAAACAAAAAATATTCAAATTTTTAAATTTTTTACCAAATTGTTATGCATTCCAAAACTTTGTTTCCTTTATGTTCTATCAATAGTAATAACACAGTAGGAAAACAGGCTCTAAAAATCAAAATATTAAGTATACGCCGTGTGCCAGCTAGAAAGTCATTTCAAGTGAAATTAATAAGGTAAGATCGTCGCATTTGACTTTCTAGCTGCATAGAGCCAAAGCAGTTCCCCGTTTTTTTTTATTTCGAAGTAATTATTCCGCATAGTAAGTACTAGTACTGGTAGTGACAACGAATAATCCACATCAAATCAACTGGAATTTAGCTAAAGAACAACCCTTATTTTTGAGTAAATTCATTTTTTATTTGGCACGCAATACAAAATATAAACAAGTTACTGAAGTTTAGATTATAGAACTCCACACCTTCTCCCACCCATGAGAATTACTATCAAACACGATCACTCATTCTTCCACCTTTGAAACCACAAACCCGATACCAAATCAATCCAAAATCAAATCGCAGTACCAATGAACTACAAATTTTTCATAGCAAATCAAAATTTTCTTTTGTTTTGTGTGAACTTTTAAACAATTGCAGCTAAATGATTTTGAAATTCGGAAAGGCAAAAAGATTGGTGTTACGATATCATTTAACAATCACCGGCTATTTGTCGGCAATATACCTAAGAATAGAGATCGCGACGAATTAATTGAGGAATTTTCAAAACATGCACGTAAGTGATCCAAAAACCAACAGCAACCACAAACAAAGCAAAAGACCCCCAAAAAACTAGCCAAGCACCACCAACCCCAATTGGCTACCAGAATTGGCCAACCTTAATTACTTGTATTTAATCCCATAAAATGTTTTTAGGGGCGATACTTGCAGAATTAAAAAGCGCATGGAAGCCTACGAAATGAAGTATCAATTGGATTTTTGTTTTGCAATTTTCGCTTTTAAAATGCTATACCCCCCAAAAAAATTGCAAATTATCAATCACTAAAACCTCCCCACAAAATTGAAACATTCTGACAAGTGACCAAAGAAAGGGACATAGCTTTTCACTAAACTAAAGCTATGACCTTGAGTCGATTGCATTTTACTCTCACACTCATTTTATGTAGCGTAAATGGCGCTGTTAGTAAATACAACAAAAAATTAATTGTTCTTTACTTTTCCTTTGATTAACATTCCAATTTTTAAATGTGCCCAATTTGTTGACATTGAAAACCTGTAGCTTAACAATTCGCTAACCAAAACATTTTGAATATTTTTGAAAAACAAAAAAAAATAATAAAGGGATAAACCTAGTTTTTGTTTTAGTACAGATATATATCATATACACATAGATAATAATAAACGGCGCACACAAACCAAAACCAAACCAAACCAAACCGAAATGCGATCCCTTCCCAAAAACCAAAAAAATATGAAACCGTAATTCGTCTACTCAAATCGATATGTTTTGGCCTATACATATTGAAAATATGAAATTCATTTATTTAATGACTGGAGACAACAAGCCTTAAAAATGAACTCATTTTACTCTAACTCTCTCTGTATCTATCTTTCACATAAGCGCTACTTCCCCGAGCAATTGATGCAAACGAATCGACGAGAAAATAAGCCAAATTCAAAATCCAATATCCAATATCCATATTTCGTTGTTACGTTATTGTTCTCTATCTCTACCGATCTCTCGTTGTATCTCAGTGTACACACAATTTCTCTATATATCTTAATCTGTCTAACTCTGGCTATGTTTGTGTATAGTTTTCCCGTTATCGTTTCCATTACTCCAAACGAAAAATAAATCCAAGCTCAGTGTGTGCTCTACTTCGTGTTGTATTTTTGGTTAATTTCTTTTACATTCCTATTTTAATTGCAACATGTACTATATATAAACAAACAAACAACAACAATAGCAACAGAGGTTTTTTAAGTGTTTTTCTAAATGTGTGTTTCATTTTACATTACTCTCTATACGTACTACATATCCTACTTATTGTTATTCCCCCGCTCTGTGTAATACTTTCTCTAAATCTGAAAACCCTGCATACACAAAACCGAAAATATTATTAGCTTAGCGCATTCAATTATTCAAAAATATTTCAAAAAGTTAAGCAGCAAGCAGCAATTGTTGGCATTGGTTTTCAAAATCATCTAATTCGCTCTACATGTTATAGGGAGACTCCGATTACAGAAACACTCATTATTTTACATAGCAAACAAGAACAAGAAACAAGAAACGCGAGCGCTTGGAGCCGCGCCCGCTTGTCATGTAAAATTTTGTGCATTTCTGTATGAATATAAATATATAATTCAGTATTCCACCTATTTATAAATACTCGCCAAGAGTGCGTCTCAGTGTCTTATCACCTGTACTCTCAAACATTCTCGCACACAAAAACAAACGCCAGCCAATACCGATACAGATACAAATACTTTTTTGTTGTATTACTTTCGTTTCAATTTTTACATATGCAACCAACTAATCATATTGCATTCGAATTGATAACACGATTTATACTTACCGTACTCAAATGACAATTTTCTTTATTTATAAATAAACCTGATCCCGAATCTGAACCTATAGCTGGCCTTTACGAGGTAATCATATACAGTTCGCCAGATGATAAGAAAAAGAATCGTGGCTTCTGTTTTCTCGAATACGAGTCACACAAGGCGGCATCTTTGGCCAAACGAAGACTTGGCACAGGTAGAATTAAGGTGAGTCCACAAAAATCTTCCGTTATATACAAAATGCTAAGAAAGTGTTCTATTTTTCAGGTATGGGGATGTGATATAATAGTCGACTGGGCCGATCCACAGGAGGAGCCGGATGAACAAACTATGTCCAAGGTTAAAGTTCTTTATGTGCGAAATCTAACCCAGGACGTCTCAGAGGATAAGCTGAAGGTAGTACCAGTGGCAAAGCTAGTTACCAAATATAGTTTAATGGTTTTTACTATCAACAGGAGCAATTTGAGCAATATGGAAAGGTGGAACGCGTTAAGAAAATAAAAGACTATGCCTTTATACACTTTGAGGATCGTGATAGCGCCGTCGAAGCTATGCGTGGCCTTAATGGCAAGGAGATCGGCGCCTCGAATATTGAGGTAAGTCGGTTGCAAACAAAATCTGAGACATACTTCTAACATTATGTACTTGCAATTCTTGAAGGTCTCTCTCGCCAAACCTCCCTCAGACAAAAAGAAAAAGGAGGAGATTCTGCGGGCTCGTGAGCGCCGTATGATGCAAATGATGCAAGCGCGTCCCGGGATCGTGGGGTAAGTACTTCGAGCCCCGACACTTATAGTCTCACCCCCAATTGCTTCACATGAAAAACTTGTCTAGCACAGCAAAACCTACAAAAGCACAGATTGGCGCAAAATTCTAAAATATAATTCAAATAAACTACAAGTGCATTTAATGCACTCCATTGGGCACGTTAGATTTCGGCTAAATCCAAATTGAAAATGTCTGTTTGCTTCCAAGTCGCCACCATTTAAAGCAGTCAATTATACTTATATTTTATTATTGTTTTCTTTCTTTTTTTGACAATTGCCCGCCACGCGAATGAACTTCACCCCAACATACTTTGTTGTCCCCCCGCACACAACACCAAAAACCGAAAATCAAAAACCATAACCGAAAACCGAAAACCAAACAACTTATATTAAATGCCATCTCCGTGTGTGGGATTACCTTGTAAAGATTTGAAACCTTGTCTCCATACAGAAATCTGTCGCCGACACATCCCAGCATGATGTCCTTGACGCCCATGCGCCTGCAAGGGGCGCGCATGCCGCTGCGTACGCCGATACCTCGCGAATACGGTAAGTTTGGCAAATTCGCCAAGTGAACTTCCATGCGTATCCGTCGGATGCGATATCTAGATGTCTGTATGTATATGTATATGTATATGTATATGCATAGCCATCTGGTTATGATGTTGATGTTAATGTTGATGAGAAGAGGAGGTCGCCGCAAGCGCCTTCATTTCGGGACTCTACACAATTGAGAAAAAATACTTTATAACTTTTGTTAATTTGGTTTAGTTCTCGTAGTCAGTTAGTCAATTTGTCAGGCACACTTACGCATTTACACACACACACACATCACACTAACACCACTCATACACCTAACATTTAGCGTATTGATCGAATACTCCGATACTTTCTAGGTTCATTTTTAGTTTTAGCTCAAAGTCTAACCGAAAAAAAACCAGCAGCAGCTACTAATCCGGTCTGCAGTTTAAGCCTTAAGTTTAACGATATCATGTCCGCCATCGAACGCAACGTTTTGTTACCCTCTGTTTATCTTGATTATTGTTTTTCCTCGCCTCATCGTTTGAGTTATTTAAGGTTTAGAAAGCGCGTGCTATCCACTAACATTTGTATAATCGTCCCGTAACACACACACCACCGGCACACCACTCACCACTCACGTCACCCAAATGCCCCAAAAGTCACGCTTAGCACTGCCCTCGAGTTCCAGTCGAGTGAGAAAACGTATCCAGCTAGATCGAGATTAACCCACTAACTTTAAGATCTCTGACCATTGGCAATCAATTGAAGTAACTAGAACATAACCAAACCATTTCACTGATTTCTATTACTTTCCTCATCTTACTAATCGTAAATGTTGTTTCTTTTTTTCCGATATTCGCATTTGCAAGTTATATGTCAATGCTCTATTTATCTCCACTACAATTATTATCGCTGGTTTATTTGCATGTCCGTACTTATTTTCTTATCGATGTTGTCCAGTTTTATTTTGTTGTTTTATATTGTATAACCTGTCTTTGACTCTCCTCCCGACCCTCCGATCCGAACTCTCTGTGTCGCAAAGTGCAAGGCATCTGAAACACATAATACTCAAACCATAACCAAAGCATAGACATTAGACATTAAACCTTAAACCTTAAACGTTGTCCATAGTTGTTTACGATAATTAAATGTTGCAATTGTGTTCTCTGTGTAGCGAATGTTAAGCACCCTGTATACTGTTTGATGTTATATCACCGGTAAGTAACCCTAAGTCTCATCTACTTAAGCCACATACACATACCGATTCGTGTGTGTGTTTCAGTGTGACATCTAAACCACCAACCACCAACCACCCAACAATAACAGCCACAAACAAAACGAAACCACCAATCCATCTTTCTATCCCCTCGAGTATCTTGTTGCGTTACAGTACGCGCCCAATTCGTTGACCATTGGCAAAGTGAAACAATTGGCAGCATATAACATCGAGGAGAAGGGAGCTTTAGGGCTAGGTCCCATTGAAAATCTTCAACCCAATCCTCAGCCTAATCCCCGCCCTATACCCACCTGTACCTTCCCCTGCAGAATACGACTACGACTATTTCGGTTTCTCGGACTACCACCCGAGTTCTTATGGCGCCAACGAGTCGTTCTACGATGAGCTGTACCGTTCTTACGATGGGGACTACAATTACTATGATTTCCAGAGCGGTGCTTGCGGCGGGGGCGGTAATATGACCGGCGGTCCAGTGGTTCCGCTGCCGAACGGCAGCTCCGCCCAGAATTCACCGCTGGCCAGTGGGCAGCGATCGGCCAGATCCTCAGCAAGTGGTCCCAGCGGTTCGACGAGCTTTGTGGTGCGTTTTTACGAATCGAACTCTCATTAGATCCTCTCGAATCCGAGTACAATTTGATGAACAAGAACACATCGCACACAGAAACACAAGATTTGTAGAGTTCGTTTTGATTTATACTGATTTGTATTAGATATGCCCTCAGTTGATTGCCGCCTTCCTCTTGTAGTTTATTTCGTATTCCGTTTTAGTTTTGATTTGTTGACAAACGCTTCATTATTTGGCTTTAATTTCCCCCAAAAATATGTTTTTTTTTGTTTTCGTTTATGAAGTCAAAATTTGCACGACTCTTGCTGCCAAATTTCACCACACACCCACTACTCACCTACACCCAAAAGCCAAAACACAATATGCACACCATGCCACGCCCGTGCACGCCCATTGCCGGAACAAGGATTATTTGTTGCTTGTTTTCGCATTGTTTTGCTTTACCCATGGAAACATCCAATAATTTAAGGACTCGACGCGCGCCACGCCGCAATCGAAAAACTAACAATCGGTGCTTTATTACGCTTATCTTATGCTTTTGCTTGTACGTATACCCGCTTATTTATTTATATTTAATTGCACCATCCATCGCCAGGCTGAAGTAACTATTAATTATCTATTTATGAGCTGAATACGGCGTGCTGATGTTTTAATTTTAATTAATTTTTAGCAATTAAGTGAAGTGATTTTTATTACGATTGCGCACTCCATTGCGCCGCTTTATATTTATATTTATTTATTTTGTAACAACGCAAACGCTTTAATGTCTAAACCGATTAACCGCATTACGCTTATTGTATTCTTTTAGTTACATTATAAAACAAAAACAAATTTACAAACATGGTAAAGTTATTTTTTGAATATTGTGTCAATCGCAAGAGGCAAAACTTTTGTTGCTTGGACTTCAACGTTTCAAGCGCCCCAGATCCGTTGTTATAAGTATATTATAATACCCAATTGACTAGTTAAATGCTCACTCAGTTTACACATAAAACAGAGAACAGTATATATACATCTTAGTCATTTTTATATAAATAATACATACTTTATATGCATACATTTCATCGTGTATGTACAATCAAACAAACAGTTTTACACCAAGAATCTAACGCGTTTATTTCGATTTTTTTCTTTTCTTTTCTTTCTTTTTATGTGTTCTTGTTATATACTTATCTATATACAAATACAATTCATTTGTTTTTCGGTACAATATGACAAAAAACATCAAATCTTGAAAAAAAATTATATATATGTTCGTCAAAACCAAAATAAAAAAACCCACATTAAAATTACAAATTCTATCTCTGCCACCAACCTAAATCAAAATCAAAACAAAAATCAACCACCAACCAAATGACCAAATCTAAAACCAAAAACTATCGTTAACCTTTCTGACCCCCCCTATTCCGAAAACGCATCCGCACCAAATTCGAAATTCTTATCGATTCGACATTCAAAATTCCAAATCCATTCAAAAACGTACTTTTATTTTGTCTAAATCTTTCGTTCAATTCGAAATTTGAAATGACCAAATTTGACAATTATCTTGGCGATCCATATATATACAAACACATTTAATTATGTATAAAAAATGCTAATGCTATTGAAAAATTATAAACTCAAAAATTCGAACAAAAATCTCGAAACCTGAAAAACTGAAATCAAAAACGAAATCAAAACGCAAAACCAAACCAACGACCGATGGATAACCAAAAATGATGGAAAATGGAACCGAATCTGATCTGGAAATGCAAATAACACGCTCTCGAACCACGCAACACCACCACTTAAACACACAACACAAAACAACAACACACACACACACACTTGAAACACACTTATACTCTACACCACACCCACCCACAAACGCAACTAATGCATGCAATAATGACGATGATGATGATGACGCCTACCCACTGTGCCATTGAAATATGATCACGATGATGATGTGATGTAATGATGTAATGATGTGGCTGTGGATGTGGATGTGTAGGGAGTTGGTCGTGGGCCTGGAATCACAGTGCCGCGTGGCAGAGTCGTTGGCCAACGTGGCAGCATCAGTCGTCTGGGGGCCCAAACAGCGCCACAGGCGGCGGCAGCGGCAGCGGCGGCGGGACAGGCGGCGGCGGCGGTAGCTCAGCGGGGGGCCACCGGTCAGGGGGCGCCGGCAGCAACCGGGGGGGTCCGTGGGGTGGTGCCAACGCGTCCCAGCGCTCGTGGCACCCAGCACGTCAAGCCGCTACAAAATTTACCAGGTGAGCTCAACAAACAAAAAACACAAGATCGTATCTCAGTAATACACCACAACAAAAAAAAAACCGATCAACAAATAAAACCACCAATCAAATTCAAACCAAATCAAACCAAAAACCAAATCGAATCAAAAACGATACCTCCCAACAACCTGCGCCAAGTGAAACTGCATAAACAAAACCAACAACAGCGACAAACTTGAGAGAATGTATACATTGCAAGTGTCAAATTCATATAAATTAATAAGTAAAGCCAATTAAAAATGTAACATGCATACGAAATACCACCCACACCCCTACGAACACACACACACACACACACAGACACACACACATACTTATCACGCGCACAAACACCAAAACGAACATAACGAGAGATTTTAATATAGTGTGAATCCCCTCCCCCAGATCCCAAAAAAAAAGGTCACTTCAATGTCGTGTGTCTCGCATTTGTAAATGTTCTAAATGTTGTAAAGTTTTATTACCCATTCTTTAATTACTTTTTTTTTAATATTTCCATTATACTTTTTTCTTAAATGTTTCTCTTGCTGCTTACGATTGTGATGTTATTATCCATTCACTATGTTTTTCATTACTGTGTCGGCGCTGAAATGTATGCTACGATTTTTGATGCATGTCGTCCAACTGTAAGCAGCAATTGACAGCCACGCCCATTTTACACAGTCCCGCCCGCACAGACACACACACAAACATATCGCCTATGTATATGGAAAGCCATTATAACAAATTATGTAATTGTTTATACGCATATTTTCTTGGATATGTACCTAACTAAATGAGCAATGTCTGTAAACGTTTATGAATCGATTAGTATTTATGACCCCACACCCAACCACGCACAGAATATATTGTCACCTACTAACTAAGCGCCATAGAGAGAGAGTCGGGAGAGTTGAGAGGAATCCGATTAATATCCATGTCTGTTACTAACCTCCCATCGAAAGAACCCGCCGAAAGAAAAACTCCCATCCAAAATTTTGACGTACGTGTATATAATTTTTTGTGTTTTTTTTCTATCCGGCGCTGATTTGTTGCCTACCAGCCACAAATAATATACTTATACAAATGATACGCGTTTCAAGATTGACCTGATCGATTGCGATTGCACAAATCGAAATATAAAACCTTTATTTATATATTATTTATATTCTAGCCCATTAATTTAACAATATACATATAATATTTTGTGTGATTTTATGTATATCGAATTGTGAGTCTTGTTTGTTAATTATCCATCATGCTTTGCAAAGCCAAACAAAAAAAAAAAAAAAAAAAGAAAATAGTTTAGTAACCTTTACACATATTTACCCATATGACCTTATATATGTATAATATAACCAACCTTTAACATTTCATACATATCATATCCACACACAGGGTGACACCAGTACCAACTGAGATCGTTTTTTATTTACTTTATGTATAAACAAATACTAATCGATTCGTGTATTATGTTTACAACACGCACACACACCAACCAATTTTTGTTATAATTTGTTGTCAATGGAATCTATACTTGTTTATATATATATACAACTATATATAAATAGCGGAGAGCCCCAACCAGATCACGCTTTTGTGGATTGACTAACAAAAGCGTGAAGACCTCGAGAAGCACCCAATCCAGCCACAGAATACACATAAAACACAAAACACCACCACCCACCGCCCGATCACATGCTTCCGTTTTGAACTCGCTTTACATTTTTGTGGCTGTATTCGTAGATACTTTTTGTCCTTACGGAAGACACATTTTTATTTAATGTTAGAATGCTTCACACACACATGCTCATACCATATACAAACAAGCGCTTTGATTTTGATTCCACACCACTGTGTCAGCAGCTTAAACCCAAAAAGGGAAACCCAAACAAAAGCTAAAAACCAAAAACGAATACAAAACAAACCAAAAACCTAAATCTGTTTCTAGCTGGAGCTGCACTCAAGACATATATGGAGGGCAACTAAGCGTAGCGCATCGATCACCTCCTCGGTCAGCGGCAAGAGTCGCTCTCCGGTCAAGAAGCGTAAAACCCATAAGTCCCCACGTAGCAAGACCAAGTCACACAAGTCCAAGAAGCATTCCCACAAACCCAAGTCGTCTCGGCCCAAAAAAGAAAAGAAATCCAAACAGAAGTCCGTCTAAAACAATTCTGCCATTGCTAAATTCACAAAGTGGGCAATGCCCACCACACTCTGTCCCACGAAACACACCCATTTCTTTTTATCCAAAATCAAAACCAAACGAAGAATCTCGTCATTGGCATTCAAGAGAAGAAAATTCAAGAACACATCACGCCTCTCGTCTTGCAGAATCGAAATCTATAGCGCCAGATCAGATCAGTTCGGCCATGTAAACAGACCGCCCCAGCAAACACTTAACGAATAAGACCTTGCTAAATTCAAAATTTCAAACAGGGAGTGGAGAACCCCCAAGCACACTCAGCGCCAACGGCCCATTACACAGAATCTTTCAAGTACAGCGCTCTGTTACCCTTTGGTCCAGGGATCCATCGATCTGACGGCCGATTCCCATTGTGACCTTGTCCCGGTTATCGCCCATACCCATCATGTTAGCTGTGATAAACGTTCCATGTTTCATGTCAGGCGATAATATCATGTAAAATGTTTTACTTACAAAACAAGAAACCCCGTCTGGTAATTGTTAACCGCCCACACAAACACGAATATATTCTGCACACTACATCACTATCACACAATCCAAACACTATGTATTTATGTACATGTAATCATGTCCCCAAGTCCCTGGCGTTATGTCGAATTAACACGATTACCCACATTTGTGATGTGTAAAACCAATGATGAGATAAATTAAACGAACAAAAATATCAAATGCGTTGTCTTTAATTGTTTTTTTTGGAAATCACTCCAGCCGCCCCCTCACTTTCAAAGCAAATTCAAAATGGACGAAAATATCATCATGAAATTGTGCTACTAAAACAACTAACACAACGTCAAGAAATCCCCATTCGAACCATAGACCAGTTGAACTTAATCCGATCAAAAACGACCAACTACCAAACAAAAAAATAATAGCAACAACTTTGAACCATTTTTGTATTAACAGAATTTTTAACTCTCTTTCTCTTTTTTTTCTTTCGAAAAACACCTTTACCACCCACCCAAAAACACACAACAACTACAACCACAACGCACACCCAAACCGAATGCCTCTCAAACAACGACAACAAACAACCACCGACACCTTCATTGTTGCGGTCACCAATCTGCAGTAGTCGGTAAACGTAAGTTCGATGGAGGTCACCAAAATCCGGCAGATGTTAAGCGACGTTACCCGAGCGGTTTAATAGGAAATGGCGGCAGTTGGGGCAGTTTACCGCTACCACAGCAACCTTTAGGCACCAATGGTGAACAGTGGTACATGGATACGTTTTCGGCATGGAGTTAAAACCACACAGCAACAGCAACCACCACAACAACAACAACAGCAACCCAATTGAAATCAGTTAAAGCATCATTAACAACAACAACAACAGCAGCAACACAAGGAAGTTACAACCACAAATATTCATTTTCTCCGAGCAACATCCTGGAGAAAAAACCTTCGCGTCATAGTAAACACAAAAATAGCAACCATTCTTAACAAGCAATAAATTTAATTTCAACAAATTATATAAAGTATAAGAAATACAATTAGCCACAATTCAAAAGCATTGTTTAGAGACTCGTTTCGATCTTAGTTCTTTTGCTATGAACGCCGTAGATTGCGTCCTCTAAATAACTATAATAACAAATCAAGAAATCAGCAATAGCAGCAACAAATATGTCGAGTAGAGTATATGTATTGTATGTAATCACTTTAAAAATAGCCTTTGCAGCGACAGCATTTTAAACGAAGAGATTTCATTTAGCGAAACAAGTTTAGCAGATTTTCCCAAACCAATTTTAAAAAGCATCAGCCTCAAAACTTAGATAAACCAAAGTCAAATCGTTTTAAAGTTCACAAAAAATATAAGAAAAATTTGTCTCATAGCGTTTTTAACTCAAAATTGCAACAATAATTGATCATATATAGCAAAACGTATATGAAAATAAAAAAAAAATGAAATATATTTATCTATAACTATATAGAGAGAGCAGTCTAAGCCCATACAAATTGATTTTAAATCTTAAGCAGCATGTAGCACCCCTTTTATACATTGAAAAAGCGTAAGCAACCAAATTCAAAATCATTTTACAATATTTACATGGGCATCGGAAAGTTGACATTTTAGACAGCCAATTTCTTCTTTTGTATATAGCCAATAGAAAGTTGGCAAGCGCTGAAGCTAGTAATATGGGAAACCCAGACATATATACACGAGATCAAGCTCAGATGAATTGAAAAACTGTTTAATATTCTAAGAACACCAGAAAACATCAAATTGAAAAGCAAAGCTTAGTGAAGAAACATTGACTGACAAAAATAAAGAAAACAAAAAACAAATTATAAATTAGATCGAATGAGTTGATATGAGAACGATAAGCAAATACAAAAATTAAAACGCAGCCAGCATTATTATATAATGCGACTGGCGACGGCAACTGGCAAGACTTTCTGCATAAATTTGAAAACAAACTATTTTTTAACGACGTAAGTTTTAGGCAACTTCAAATCAATTATCTGTCAGAAGTAAAAAACAAAATATGTAGAGCTAAGTAATTGCACACATACAAAACTACACTTAAAACTCACTGATAATACTGATAAGCAGATTAAAATCGCAAATCAACAAGAAATTTGACTAGTGTCTGCAAATCGAAGCAACGAATTAGGAAGAAAACATATAGACGCGGAGACAACACATCACAAACAGTAAAAAGTAATGAACCTAATAATAAAGTTGATTATAAATTTTAATACCCATAACTCATACTTAACATTAACACTTGTAACGAGTACGATTAAACAATGTTGGAAAAAAACACGCCAACAAAACTATAAAATCAATTAGCCAACTCTCAAGTGCGTATTAGCAGCAATCCTAAACCATTCAAAGCTAAGAAATTCTATTTAAAATCCACTAATCTTATATCGAATTCAGATTAAAGTCTTTTCCCACTTTCATTTACTCATCTATAACTGCTACGCACACAGATAATACGGAAGAGAACACAGCCCTAAGCTAAAATAATAAATATACCAAGTTGACTTGCGAAAACTTAACTAGCTCCATGCCTATAAAAAAGAAACGCCACACACGTGTCAAAATACGTATATGTAGGGAAAATTTATGAAACAAAAACTTGCCCGTTTACTTTCTGTTTTGCAAAATTTTAAGAAAAATTATTTTGGTTGAACAACAATTCTGCCGTTTACGTTTCCGCTATTGCTAGATCTCAAGTAAAGCAAAAAGTTAATTAATATATATAAATGTATAAAACAAAAATATATAAATTAGTTTTAAACTAACGAAAGAATACTTCCAATTTTGAACTCAAGTATAAAGCAAAATACAAACTGTTGGCAGTTAATGAAGGACGCGTGTGTTTTAAAACGTATCTATGAACATTGTTCAGCATAAGCCTAAAAACAATAACTTTTTTAAATTTAAAAATACACATACACAGACACACACCAAGCAGTTGCCTAAAGTAAAAAAAAAAAAAAACAAAAACAAATAATGAATACATGAATTAAAACTTGCGCAAAATTTGCAAACCAGCAAAGAACTTTAAATACATAATATTAGCCACAAACAATAAGAGAACATATACAACAAATTCTAAATGACCATAGTTAAGCTTAAATTTAATAAGATTCACATACACACACACACACATATATACACATAATTATTAAAATAAAGTAAACTGTCGTTGTAGGGGATGAGAAGTGTGCGCCATTTTCTAACTACAATAACAAGAGAACAAAATTACTAAAATATTTACCCACTTTTTATTTTTGATAAGTTTTCCTATGAATTTTCTTAAACATTTTACTGTTTTGTTGAGAGAGCATTTCATGCAATTGCAATTGATTGTTGCCTTCGAAAAAGAGAGGGAGAAATAATTTTAAAACTTTAATAATTTTTTTCTTTAAACACACACAAACACAACAAATAAATTAATTTTATAAGAAAGTGAATTAAAAGAAACTATAACGCCGCGTCTTTTTGCATGCAAAATTTTCGATTTTTCGCCCTAGAAATTTCCACATTTGGTGACTTAAAACCTTTGAACCCGATTCAAATTGCAAATATATAAATATAATTAATTTTAACAATTTGTTTAATTCGATAACTGTACTGATTTTATATTGTTTTAAATTTGTAATTTAATTTGTAAGTTTTTATTGTTAATGTGTTTTTTCTATTGTAAACTAAAACTAAACTAAATCTATAATCCAATTGGCAAATTGTTACACAATCCGTTTAAGTTTACCGATTTCGTCGATTCAAAAATTGAGAATTTATCTAGAAACCATTTCTTTGGAAGCCCAATATTTTCCTTCAACCCCACCCACCCCGAAGCCTTAACCCCCAACACCCTTAATTGTGTTAAATATTGTAATTTGTAATTTTTGTTTTAATTTTTCGGGAAAGCAAAAACGTTTGGCAAAATTAGTTTATAATTTGAATATTTAGTTTTGTTTGTGCGCTTAAGTTTTCAATAGTATGTTATATATATTAAACTATGAATATTAATTTTTAGCAAAATATTTTTACGACCTAACATAAATCACTAATGTTAAATACTTAAAGAACTAATTTGTTTAGCTGTTTAATTGGTTTAAAATTTTTCTGTATTGTGAAGAGGAGCGCAAACAAAATTTATCTTTGGTCTATTAACAATAACAATAACTGTATACGTGTGTAAATTTCAACCTTCAACAAAAGCAACACAATACTGAAAATAAAATAGAAATAAAGTCGAAAGGAATCATGAAAGAAAGCAAAGTGGACAACAAAATTGCAAACTGCGCATGGAAACTGAGCGAAAAAAATGAAAAACTTTACATGAATTGTGATGATGCAAAGGCAAGATTTAATCATAATTACTAAATCTATATACAATAAATATATATCTTTCTCTATAAATATATATATTTGAGTATATAATGTAAATGTAGGCGTAGGAGTGTATAATCTAACTTTACTTTTAAACAGACTGCGTACGTATTAAAAATTTTTAAAATTAATTTGTGTAAAATGTTTTAAGTTTTGAAAAATTGGCAAATAAAGAAAACAATAAAAATTAATAAATCAAAAACATGATCGTATTGTAAATTGAAATATACAACCTATTTCGACCTATTCCAAATTACCTTTTTTTTAAACCTTTTCAGCAATCAAAATCTTTTTATGTATATTTCAAGAATCGGCTTAAAGCAAGCGCAACTGTTTATAAAGAAAAATGAAGGACATTGGCAGTGGATGCAAGGATCTGAGAGCTTTGGAAAGTTTCCAAGATTGTTTCTTCTTAAACACACAAAAAAAAACATGAATTGTATGAGGACAATATCTGTTTCAAACATACACACACGTTAGGATTAGCTTCTCTTAGACCATTCTTGTTTTATTTTTAAATTTATAGTTTGTGTGTGTTTTCTTTACTTTCTTTTTAATTACATATATAACCATTTTTATACATGATTGATTAAAACTCTTTTATAAACTACCTATTGATATACATCACAAAACATTTGCATACATACCACACGTATGAAAGGGATTCATAAACCGTGAACGTAACGTCGCCAATTATTACGAAATAAAAAAAAAAACAAATGGAAATTAAATAATAAAAACAATCAGAATTCATCGTAGAGGAAGGCCGAATGTGAGAAAAATGGGAGAACAACTTTTACGTCTTAATAAACAATTATTGTTAACGAAGAAAATAAAAGTGAGAAAAGAAGCATATTGTACTAAAATATTTGATATACATACATTTGTTATTATTTGTAATACGAAAATTAAATAAAATTGCATCCAGATAATAAAAAATGAAATAAATAAAGAATGCAAAGGACTTCGTGTGCTCAATCCTAGACTAGAAACAAATGAAACGCCGCCACTTTGGTCCAAAAAACAATTATTTATTTTTTATCGCTACAAAAAGAAGAGACTATCCTAAAAACATTTGCTGCGGGACGAGGACTTGCTCCGACTACCATCGCTTGGTCTTGTGCTGACGCTGGCGGTGGTGATGGCCATAACATCACCCAGCACTGTTTCATCTACGCTGGTATCATCGGCGGGTATTTCCTCGTCGCTGTTCTCCTCGTCGGCAAACGAACCGACTGGCGTGATAATAGAGTCCCCGTGAAGATCCCTGTTTATCATGTTGCCCATGTGGAAAGCCGAATGACAGTTGTTGGCAGCCAAAAGGGCTTTCACCCGGAAAACCAGCGTCTCAATTGTCTCCCGCAGGCTGGGAATGTAGCTGATGATGGCCGTATTTTTAATGGACTTCGAATGGCAGCAGAGTTGGTGCAGAAATCGTGTCACTTTCTGGAGCTCGTGCAGAAACCTGGTCAGCCTCTCGGGATCATCCCGAACAATGGATTCCAGCGCAGTCATGCCGTGCTGAAGCAACAGCTTGAGGAATAGCAGGGAGTGCTTTAGGAACAATCCGAAATTTCGGGGCTGTTCCACCAGCTGCACTATGCTGAGCAAGCCATTGAACAAGTCAACCGTGGATTCCCACAGTTTCAGCTTATCTCCGCGACTGTCCACGCCGATTTGGCCACTTAAGGAGTGAATTAACACCTCGCAGAGGCCACGAAAAAGCAAAGGAAAGTTGGCCCTGCGAATTTATAGGATTAATAAATTTTAATTTTGGCGTATCATGTTTTGCTTACTTTTTGAAGTTGGGAAAGGAATTCAGGGCTTTGTCCTTTGTGTTAAGAACACTGCATTGTTTAACCAGCTCACTAAGGAGTTCACTTTGACTTTCGTTAGTCGATTTCCGAAGGTAACCCTTGACCAGCTCGTCCAGATAGATATTGCACTGCCCGCCCTTATCCAAAGTAGCAGAGTAGTGGAACCACTTTCGACGCAGCAGCTTGCCACAAAGTGAACCTGAATAATATAATAGAAAAAAAGTTCTGAAACTACATTCAATACTTTGTGTTCATGCTTACGCGAGTCTTCGGCTTGCTGAAATCTCGGCTGGCTTGCATCAATTTCCAAACTTCCCACCTTCAGCAAGCTGCACAACAATCGATGAAGCTGGACCGCTGTACTGAGGCTCAGAACAGATTTTTCATACTTTAAAAAGTATTCAAAGGCCAGGGTTGCCAGCTGGGGAACTGTTTTTTGTTCGTATCTTTTCCATAGCTCTTTTGGGTGCAACTTATACAAAGATTCTAAAAACAAATATTCATAAAATATATGGAACTACACTAAAGCAGTAATAGCTTACTATGGAGCAGCTCAGCCTGAGACTTGTCGCCCCACTCGCCCCAGGCGAAGTATAAGGCAAATAAGCGAATGCAAAGTCCAAAGCAGGTTTTCACATAGTTAAATTGCTCCTTGAACAGATCCAGATTGCTGTACACATGATTGACTCTCGTTAGCTCTTTGTCGATCGCTTCTGCCAAAGTTATTAGGTGTTTGTTCACCTCAAGCAGACAGGGAAGTAAATCGCATATGAAATCCTCTGGCTTGGCCAGGTGCAGCCTGAAACTGTCCGCATCAGACGAGTCCTGCTGGCCGAGGACTGCCGCTTCAAGTTTTAGAACCATGTCTTCCAACAGGAAACGCAACTCAAGCAGGCCCAGAAACTCTCCAACTTGATCCTTCTCCAGCTGGTGGTTCAGCACAAACTTCTGCTCGACCAACAGCATTATAATTTCCACTTCCATGGGCCTGTACTTCTCTCGCGGCCCGTACATCTGCTCAAAGTCTATCTTTGTTTTTATGGACTTGCAGGCTCCAACCTTAATCGTAAAATCAGCAATCGTAGTCTGATTACCAGTTAAGTCCGGTTCCGTTGCAGTTGCGTTCAGCCTAGCAGCAGCCTTGGCTCCTTGGCGTTTCTGATTCATCGCCGAGTGCTTGGCATTGGTGAGAAACTGGTATGGCGGGGCTACGAAGTCCGAGGGCGCTCTAGCCAGGAGCGGCTTAATCCTCTGCTCAATTCGTATCAATTCACCGAGACGGGCCAACACTCGACGCCGAGTGGGTGGATCCCTCTGCGATGCGAAGGCACTGATCGACACCCGCATCCAATTGACGGTGTGGAAGTAAATGCTCAGAATGTCCTTTTGCTGGTCCGTCGCAAAGTTGTCGAATATGGCTAGATAGTTATCGGCTTCAAAGAACGAGGGTAAGACGATGGCACAGCCGAGCAACGCATTGATGTTCTCCAAGCTGTCGTGGTGACGATGTTTATACAGTACCCGGACACAGTTAAACAAAGGTGCAAGTACATATATAGAATCGCAAGCTCTGAGAATATTAAATATATAGTAATAAAATGTATTTATAAAATAGAGGATAAATAAGGTTATTAAACAAGTCGAACTTACTTGGCTTTGGGTGACAGAACCAGTTTCGATATATTTATGCCGATGCTAAGGACATCCGATTCAGTGTTGACATTTGAGTCGTCCAATTCATTAATGTTCATTTGATATTCTAGTTTAATGCCCCTAAAAATCAACTATATTTAGTGGAGTAATATTAAGAGAACAGCTGTAACTTACTTAATTGTCTCTGGAACATCCTCGGTGACAAAGCTAGTCTGAAAACGGATAGTCACTATGTCACAAGCCCAGGCAATAAAATGGTGGTCCAAGTCACAGGCGGAAGTTTCGTCATAGCGCTGGTTGAAAACCGTCGCCAGTTCTTCGTAGAATAGAGCTAAGGACTCGGCGCTGTTGGCAATGGATGACTCGGTGCGAACTGTGTGTTGGGTATATTAATTCGCAGTTTAAAGTTTAATATCCTGCATTAATTACTGATCAAGTTGGCGGCCATTTTGCCTCGACCATCGGGCAAAGAATCCACGTTTTCCACGCTAGTTTGGGAATCGTTATGCTCCACTGCATCGTCCTCGATGCGGGCCATCGCATCGATGAGCTGCACACATCCAATAATGCCCTGCCTTTTTATAATATCCGTTGAATTGATCAGCTGCTTCTTCACAACCATATCGACTTGCTCCTGGAGCTGAGCGCAAGCCGGTAGTTTGGGGTCTGGAAAGGCCACATGGCAAAGCAGGTCCATGGCCACACGCGTCTGAGTAAGGGTAAGATCACTGATCCTATCCAACATCGGAATGAGGAGGGCGGCACAGTTCTGAACATCTTTGGTGCTCTTGCGCTGCAGCTCACGAAGTAGTTCCAATGCCATTGTCGTCAGGTGAGGAGATGATTTGTCACAGGTGAGCTCCAGCAGTTTCTTAAGGATATTCTTCTGAATAGAGTCGAAAATCCTAAATAGTATACTGCGAGGAAGCGAGGAAAAAGTTTAGTAATTCAATTTATATGCATTTTTGGCAGCAAAATGTGTACCTGTACGAAGACTTGGCAAAATCGGACACGGTGCGATTTTTCTCACGCATAAAGTCATGTAGAATGTTCATCAGTGTGCTTATATGCTGCTCGAGTATGTGCCTATAGTGCAATTTCACCTCCTCTAAAATGCTCACCGTAAAGTGTTCCAGCTTAATACGACGACGAAGCTTTCAAAATAGACCGTTAATATTTTAGCATATCTTAGCATATCTTGAAAATTATCAAATACTTACAATATTTTCAATATACAATGAATTATCTTCATTAACTTTTATTAACAAAAGCAGAACAATCATGTCGAACGAGCTAGATAAGATATATATTTACTTAAATACAGGGTATCCAACACGTTTCGTAACCGTCATCCTTAATCGGTAAAAAATTTGTACCAAGACCGAAACCGATTTCGAAATTGTTATGTTGGTTGTAACCGTAACAGTAACCGAAACCGATATTTGACTCGATTTAAATCCCTGCTTAAATACTATTTCCTTTTATGGTTTCTGTAGACTTACGTGAATGCATCTGCGGGCAAAACACCTGCTGACCTTTGACACGCCTGATAAAATCGTTTAGAGCGTATTAAGCCAAGCTCCAGAAAGCCAAATAATTCCAGCTGTGACTTTCTATTGTCTTCCGTTGCCGAGTTTTTACCTCTTTTAATTGTGTGACGCCAGTTGAAGATTTCTCGCAGGCTACCTATCAACTTTATTTATAGTAATGTTTATCAGTTAAATAATCAGTGCTCTTAAGGAAAATAAAGAAGTCTTACATCGCGCACACTGTCATCTGTGTCCATTTTCAGAATGTTAAGCAAAAGGCGAACGAGGTGAGGCAAGGTCTAAAACAAACAAAATAATTCAAATTAAAATTCAAACTAAAGCCATTATATATAGTTACCATATCGGAACAGTTTCCACTTGTGGCAAACTCCAAAATGCGCAGTCGTAACTTAGCCTGCGTTCGGTCTGAAAGGGATAAATTGCTCAGCGTGTGCACCGTGGTCATATGGAACAGGTCTTCAGTGTTGGAATAGTTAATGCTGCAACAATTAAAATTGAGTCCTTCTTAACACGAGATTTCGAAATGTTTTTGAAATTTACATAAGTAGTCTTCCTATTGCCCCAACATTTTGGCATTGAATACATTTGCAGAAGAATAGATTAACATTTTATAGTTCTGTTTGATGGGATTGGTAAAAAAAAATCCTTATTTTAACCGTAGTTAATGGTAGCCTCAGTTACACATGCTATCTAATTGATTTTAATCGAAATTAAAAGACAAGAGCTAAGAACTCGATGGTAGCTGCTTCTTACTTACTTGAGTAGTTCAACAAACTCGTCGTGCATGCTGGCATCCAGTATCAACTCGGCGTTGGCTATGATGTCCAACTTGGCCGACTTCGTGGCCCTGTTAAAGATGCCCTCGATGCGGCTGTAGATCTGCACCTTGTGCGAAACGGTCAGGTAGCGCAGTTGGGTGAGCATCAAGGGCAGAAGTGGCATGGATATGGCGGCCCTGCCCGTAAGGACTCGATCCGCGGTGGCGACCTCCTCGATCTTGTTCAGGAGCACCTCCACGCAGGCATCTCGCAGAAAGTCGATCATGAGGAAGTTCATGAACATGCTGTTCTGCGACTGATAGATCTGTTCCTCGCCAGCGGCGTCCACGGTGCAGCCGGTCAGGAGTTTCTGCACCAGCTTTGAGTTTGGCGCCATCGCCGCATTCAGGCCCGTCTTGAAGGTTTCCAGCTTGTCGGTGTAGGACGAGGCGCTCATGAATATTTCCCGTAGCTTGGACACAATGGACACATGGTCGCAGGCCAGGACCAGGCTGTCGCCCTGATCCAATTGGACTCCGGCGCGAATCAGGACCAGTTCGAAAAAGTTGTTGGGCTGCCGGGAGAGGTTGGGGATGTTCCGGCTGGAGGACTGTGTGCGACCCAGGGTGGCGGCCAGGATGGCACTGTGCTGCGACAGGAAGCGCTGCGTGTGCTCCTGCGAGGCGGGTATGTTCTCCTCGCTCCCGGCGGATGATGATTCAATGGAAACATTAGTGGAGCTCTCCGCCAGGCGCTGAAATACATATGCTTTTCCGTCACGATTTCAAAGGAGTATATTAACTTTTTCACTTACCGGCACTTTTATGGTGGTGTTCTCATCAATCGTGTTTAGAGCCTTCTTCTTACGATTCTTAAACTTATACATAGTGGACAATTAACTTTACAAAATACCAAAAACAAAACTAGATGAAAACAAAAGCAATTCCTGGCGGGTTTTGAATAGAGTGACCGTATTCGAGTTATTTGCAATGTTATCGATAGTGCCGATAGTAAACTGTCACCATCGATAGAAAACTGTCACTATCGAAAGCGGAATATAGGAAATAATCCATAAAAAATTATGGGAATAAAATAGTCTGATTTAAATAGAAATAATTTACTTATTTTAGTGACGAAAAAATGAGAAAATTGTGTAAATTAGTTTAAAGTGCAATTAAAGTAAATTAAATTAAAAGAGTGATGCTGATTTCAATATCCTCATTAGCTGTATAAAAATTAATGTGATTTTTTTTTGGAAATTTAAATTTTTATTCAAACATTTTCTACATAATGCGTACAAAACTATTATTGTTTTTCTTTAGGTATATAACTATTAATCATATGTGATGAGTATAAAATTTTAACTATGCATTTGCTTAATTTTAGGATCCGGAAGCAAGTTCCATAAATTGATAATCGTATATGTAATGAAAAAGTCCAACGTAACACTAAATAAGGTGGTTATGAACTTATTTGTTAATTTAAAGCCTTTCGATTTGAATTGTTTAACTTGGGTGCTAATTCTGATAATGTCGAATTATTCCTAATATAGATTTTTAACACTAAAAAGTGCAAAAACTCTATTGTGCTATACATTTTTAAATGTATATAAATATTGTTTATAAAAAGGAAGTACAACATATGTAGGTCTTGAATTGATTATGCCACAAATTGACTTATTCCGCGACTAATGTGTCCCTTTAGTACCTAGTTTATGGAAAATCACTAATTTGGCGTTGTTTTCAGTATTGCTTTTAAGTTTATAATGATGAACTTGATGCCATGCCTATCACACCAATTCAGTCCAAATTGCAAAACTTGCGATTACTCCACAATACTGCCCTTCTGAAAACTGATAAGGTTTCCTGCCCCTACTTTTCAGTGTTTTTAAACATATAATTATTGTTTTTTCGCACGACGTCTCTTAAAGCCCGTCATCTGCTTCAGAAGCTGCGAGTTTTCGTCATCGAGATCCATGTTTGGCTCCCAGAGCCGCAGTCGTTTGGGAATATAGATTAGGCCCAATAGAGTGATAGCTAAATGGGATAAACGATACAATTTATTAATCGAAGTGGTAAATATTTTCCTAATTTGTAAAAGCATTAGAGATAATCTAAAAATACTCTCTTTCTGTTTTAAATGACTTTTGAAACTTGTGTTCTTATTCCTTTTACTATTTCCTTTTTTAAAAAAATAAACAACCAATAAATTAAAATGGGTTTGCAAGCCCTATCACTATATTTTTATTCATGGCACTTATAATAAACAAGTTTCTTCAGAGGTTCATTTATTTTAATTATACTCACAATTCAGCACGCAAGGGAAGATCACGTAAAAGTTGATGGTGCTGGAGCGAAAGTAGAGCGCCTCGGTGGCGTAGAAGACCATTGTGAGGGCCAAGGAGCAGCCGCCCATGCTCACAACCCTTTTAAGATAAATATATATGTTATTGCCAGACAACAAGTACGTTTTGAGCAACACTTACGGCCTATAGTGGATATAGAGGGTGCAGTGAACCAGAGCTATGGCCTTGAGCAGGCAGTACATCCCGATAATGCGCGATATGGTATAGTCACCTGTAAATATCCCCTTGAAATATGATTCCAGCAGTGTTTTCAGTACTCACCCTCTATGAACTGGGTGTCACTGTGGTCGCCCAGGAAGCTGCGCCTCTCGATATAGCTCCGGAAAGCCGTGCCCAAGTCCATGAAGGCCACAAAGGCTATCCATCCCCGGAAGGCATAGAGCAGGCGTTCGCGGGGTCGTCCGCCAGACTGCATGGCAGCCCTAGATATAATACAGTGAGTTATAGCATCGATTTGAAACTTCATTTTATGTGGGGTTATTATGAAACGATAAACACTTTTAGTTTTTGGGACTCCAATTTTTTTACCTAAATCAAATCAAACGTCGTAGGTGAAATAAATAATTTTATTACGAAAAGTTTCACAAAAGAGTCTCAGATGTATTAACCGGTCCTATTTCTGAAGAACTTTGTAAGGTTTATTTAATAAAGAAGTTTCGATATAAGTTTTAAAATTAACCTTTTTAGTTTTTAAGCCAAGTTTTTTCATCCATAATATTGCTTATTTGTACGACAAACAAAATTTTAGCGACACTTATATTAGGCTATCACATTCCTAAATTATGACTCAAATGGTCTAATGTAATGTTATAAGGATATAAATCAAAGAAGAGTTAAAATTTTTAAATTATATTAAGGACAAGGTGTCATCTAAAATTGGGACGAAGAACTCCCCACACAAAAATTTAACATACTACACAATTACGAGCTATCAACATTCCCCATGATTGTTATGATGATATAATGTTAGCTCTTTTGGCATTCCGAAGCCTTTAGAATCAACGTCACTTTGTTGCGTGTGCATAATTAGACCTTTTATTTGAGGGGTTTCGTTTCAGCAAAACCAGGAACTCCAACTGAGCAGTCGAGTAATGTAATGGCATTCCCAACCGGCTTATCGCCCTCTGAGAATCGCACTTGGAAGTCCCCGTGCAACCAACCCCTTTCCAAAACGCTGGGCAAAATCGATATTATGGCACACTATGCTGGGCTATTTGTGTAGTGCAAATAATTGTGCAGAGCGTAATTCCCGGATGCACGCGACCACGTGGATCGGGGTCCAAGTGGAGCTCCCGCCCCGGCCAAATTGTTTATTTTCAATCAACATCGCCGGCTAGGTCGTCCGAGCAACGCCGGCCCGGGACCGGCTAGCTGGCGATTCATAATTACTCCCGTGCACTCTATACGTTATGTGTGTATTTATTTTCGTGGCCATTGGCTTACATTTTGCAGCGATTTCCAAGTTACTCTGCAAACCCAAGCCCCGTCACACCCGGCGTATGCGTAATACTCGAATATGGGACTCTTAAAACCCACGAAACCGATTTTATGCTGCAGCGATTGTTTATTTTTTATTGGTTTTATTTAAACCGATCAATGCGACCAATTTTTGTTCCGTCGCCAACAACACTTCGCCGTCCACTGAAAGTCTTCCATGGGAATGCCGTGCGATGGCAGGCAGCTTTTATGCTTTGAAGAGCTTTGGGTCTGTTGGGGTTCGTATCGCACAGAAGATACCTTAGGTTAAAGAACCCTGCATATTAAATTATTATATAAGTATTTTGTTTTTCATTTTCAAACGTTCAAAAAGGTTTGTTCTAAAAAAAATTATGCATTTCTCATTAATATTTTATTAAGCAAAGTACAAAAATGTTAAACAATTCCGACAAACAACTCGTATGTGGATGTCCAAGTCAAAAAAATTGAGGACATGAAAATCTAACCATATGTCAGTGTTCAGAATCGTTTTCATTAGCAAATGTATAAAAATTTCAACAATTTGTCAAGTTCTATGGCTCTCTTGGAATGAAAGTTGGTCTAGTCCTTGCCAATATTCGCCTCAGTCTTGCGATATTCAGCCCAGTCCACAAATCCATCGTTGTTCAGATCCATGGACTTTAGCACATAGTCGATGGTGTCCTCCAGGGCTTTGTCCGTGTAAACTGATCCTTGTTTGTGCTCCTCCGGCTGCTCAGTCTGACCATCGGCGTGACCGTCGGAGTGACCCTCGCCTGGTTTCTCGCTACTATCTTTGACTGGAAATGTATTGGGGGCGTTTAAGATTTTTGCAGCTCACTTGGACATGGTTAAGTTAATAATTAAGCTCACCAGAAACCATTATTAAATTAAGTTAAGCCTAAAATTCTACTTGAGGGAGCGTTTAGATGTGGTCGGCTGTGATTTGGGGTTTGACTTTATTCGCTAATTCGGCTTTACTTACAAAGAGTTGCATGCGTCTATTAAATAGGTTTTAGTAGCGAAAATATTTCCACATAGACGGGGTATTCTTCGATTTTTTTTGCATAGTTTTCATTTTTTTTTTTGTACAAAAACAAACTTTTACACAATCAGTCTGTTTTTCTGCTGCTCTAAAGTTGCGCTTAAAAAATAGTTCATATCGAAAAATAATTAAAGTAATGACAATGGAAAACAAAACGAAATAAAGCGGCTGGGATTGCACAAACCACTTGAGAGATTCGTGATCAATATTCGAAATGGGAATTTTTTGAAAAAGTTCATTTGTTCAATCAAGTTCTCCGATGGAATGCTTGCAGCATGTTAAGTAAATTTGATTCAAAATTATCTAAAAAAGTGCGCTAAAACCGTAGACGAGGTCGACGTAATTTCAGGATGTTTTGGGCAGAAAACAGGAGTATGTGTTGCGCTTCACAGAACACGGGACAAGGACAGGGTAATGTATGCAACTGAACGGATCTAGAATCTACTAATGAACCGGCTGCTGCTGCTGCTCCTGCGGTTGTTGCTGTTGTTGCTGTTGCTGCTTCTCGGCGGCCTTCTGCTGCGCCTTGATGAACTCCGGATAGTCGATGTAGCCGTCTCGCGAGGTGTCGTCCATCTGCAGGATGGGGTCAATCAAGGCCACCAGCTCCTCGTCGGAGAAGACCTTCTCCTCCACGTGCGGCTTCTCGCCGTTAGGCTGCTCCTTGCTGCCTTGCTCTTCGTGAGGCAATGAGGTGTTATGGCGGATGCGAGATGGATTAGCATGAGATTCGAGCATGACCACAACCATAACCGGAAACAGCCCAGTTTAATTACGCATATGCAAAGAAGGTAGAACAGAAGAGTGGGTCAAACAAAACGAAAACAGAAACCATCAACAGCCTAACTATTAAAATAGATAAAGAAATAGTGGCCATCTTACCGTGCCAGTGGATCAGCGACTTGATCAGCTCGCAGCCGTCTAGCTTGTTGTTGTTGTCCGAATCGTGCATCTTGAAGTAGTGGAACTGCAGCTCAGCCTCGGACATCTTGCTCGTATCGATGGGCACCTGCATGTGCTCCTGGATATGACTGGAAGTGAAAGAAAACCGAGTAAGTAAAGAAATTGCAGTTGGTAAAATGTATGAGACATGTGAAAATTGCATCCCCAAAACCAATAGTTTGATAAGACTTAAAACCATACAGAAAAATATAAACTGGTGATAAGTCACACTGTCGCTTTAGAAATTGAAATATTCATTAACAAAATCAACGAAATCACTGAAGTAATCGGTGTACATTGTTTGTAATTTGGATCTCTGAGGCATAGAATTATGAGAATCTCTTCGGATCAGGTGTCAGTGTGGTAACTTATGGTTAGTTTCCCTAATAATATCTATGTTAATGCTGTTGATTTATATACTTAATTCTTTCCATCACTTTTTCTAAAAGAGGTGTCATTTACGGTTAATTTATGACATTTCCCCCAATCGGAGCAGAGCCTTTCTGATGGATAATGATTGCCAGCGGCAGTGATAAGATAGACGGGCACTTACGCGCGCTCCTGCTGGATGTTTCCGGTGTTCAAAACCTGCTGCGGTTGCCCGTGGTGGTGGCCACCCACTTGCTGCTGGTGGTGCACCTGCTGCGGCTGCTGGTGGTGCACTTGTTGCTGCGGTTGGTGCTGCTGCTGGATTGGTTGCTGCTGCTGCTGCTGCTGCTGTACAGGAACTTGTTGATATTGGACCTGCTGCTGCTGTTGCTGCTGCTGCACAGGAACTTGCACCTGCTCATATTGCTAGGTATCGGAGGAGTTAGGATTAGTGTTTTAAAAGCAGAGGATAGGTATCCCACTCACGTATTGCTGGGGCGGCACACCGGGTGCCGAGTGGACCTGTTGCTGGTACTGCGGCTGGTGGTGCTGCGCCGGCGGCGGTGGGTTGTGCTGTGGCACATGCTGCGGCACCTGCTGCTTTCATTTCAGTGGGTTAATCGGTTCTGGTGTGTGTTAATTAGGTCCAACTACTCACATAGTGCTGCGGATTTACGCCGGGAGCGACGCGCTGACCGCTCGCCAGGCCAATCAGGACAAGGGGCAGCAAGAGGGCTGCTCGCAGCTCCGGGACGCGCATCTGCATGGAAGAGCTGGATTCTGGCGGGGATTGGTTCGGTTCGGGATCGGTTTTGGTGGCTCTGTAATCACCACGTCGCAAAGACAAAACACACACGTACACAAATCGCTGCTTCTTCACCGCTGACCATTCGCAACGGGCGACAGCTGTTGCACAGGTAACTGCGGCCATTCGCCGCGAAGCGCATGCGCAGTACGGTCACACTTAACAACTGGTTTAAATTCCTGCCTAATTAATATCAAGGGTACTCATTATGCTAGCTCGATTCAATTGATAAAACGGTGAAGTTAATTGCTTATTTGGCTTATCAATGTTTTATTTTGCTATTCTAATGGAAAAAATGCTACAAAATATATACATAAGTGTGAACTCGTAAATGCATCAAAATATATAGAGTTGCCATATGTTTTTAAAAAGCTAAAAGTAGCCATAATTCCCGCTAACCGCTATTTTACAATTCATCCCGCAATTGGCTAGATCGCTAGATCTAGTGGGAATATAGCTGACTTCGCAACACTGCCTCTACCGAAAACTTCTCTTCGTTTTCAACCAGCAAATTGACTGGTTCAGCGCTGCTCAAAATAAAAAGATTTGAATACCTCGACCAGGGAATTTGCTAAATAATGGTAAATTTGCAATACCGAAGCCACTTCCCTCAACTAAAAGTGGATAGAAAGTGCTAAAAACGTTATTTTGCCATTAAAACGTGGTACACGTGTGATGGCCCATTCAACCTAACCCCACTTAACCCATGTTTCCATCAAATCCGCAGGCTGCTGCACCCAAGGATATTGAGAAGCCCCATGGCGGCGATTCAGCCTCTGTGCACCGCATCCGCATCACCCTGACCTCCAGGAACGTGCGCTCGCTGGAGAATGTGTGCCGCGACCTGATCAACGGTGCCAAGAACCAGAACCTGCGCGTCAAGGTGAGGAGTCCTTGTCCTTAATGATTATCCTGCAGTCGCATTTACCTGGAGGCTTTGCGTGCCCGCCAGACGCTTAGCCTAGTCATTAATAAATGCCAGAGAAAATGCCTGTACCGGACATTATTTTCGCGCTTATTACTCCGGTGCGAGAATTCACATGGTCCAGGCTACAAAACGTCTAAATACTGGAGAATTCCTTACTAATCCCTTCATTTTGTCACTTTTTCAGGGCCCCGTGCGCATGCCGACCAAGACCCTGCGCATCACCACCCGTAAGACTCCTTGTGGTGAGGGTTCCAAGACCTGGGATCGCTTCCAGGTGAGTTTAACTATATAATAATCCAGCTAATTATCATCTTTGGACAGATCTGATATCGTGGTTGGGCACTCAACCAGTCGTTCCACAGTATCTGTATGATTTGCCCAGAAGAAACGTGTTCTCATAGTCCACTTTGTTTAAATTCATCACAATTTGGCTCTCCGAATTCGACAAAGAAAAGCAAATCGATTTAATACGATTTTAGTTTTTTCCTTTGGCCTCTTATTTATATTCTTTGTTATTCTCCTTGTTTTCAGATGAGAATCCACAAGCGCATCATCGACTTGCACTCTCCCTCTGAGATCGTCAAGAAGATCACCTCGATCAACATCGAGCCCGGCGTAGAGGTTGAGGTCACCATCGCCAACTAAGATCGGCGTATGCCACTTTTTTACACCTCGAAAAGTTTGGCGTACAAATAAAAACCAAGAACTTTTCCAAAACATGTGTATAGACGGCTTCTTTATTGTGCGAAATCCTTTGGGGTACCATTTTACTGGAATGTTTTATGAAGTAATGTGTAGGCAGTCTAATAGTAGTCTGGAACTGGGGCGCAAGCAATCTTGACAAAGTCTGCGTATCGCACAGTGCTATTGTTGTTCACATTGGCCTCCCGGAAGATGCTGTCCACCTCGCGCATGGACAGACCCTCTCCCCAGTTCTGGAGAAGATTGCGCAGCTGCCTGGCCGAGATGGTGCCCTTATTCTGGGGATCGGCTGCCTTGAAGGCGGCAATCACCTCATCCGGCAGACTCTCCACCTTGGAGTGCTGATGCATTATGTCCAGGAAGTCGGCGAAACTCATTTTGCCATTCTTCTGCTTCAGATAGGAAACCAGTTCCTGGATCGTCGGCGAAAGACCCAAAGAACGCATAATAACCTGACAGTATGTCGAAATGTGAACCATTAGAACGTATATTTTTGTGGGGTGAGAGACCCACTTACAGTTAGTTCGTCCAAATTGTTGATTTGGCCCGATCGAGCAAATAGATAAAAACACTCGCGGAACTCTGTGGGTTAAAGATAAGAAATGTTTTTAGAATGAAATCATCAATGACTTGGTGGCACAATTACCATCAATATCCTGTTCCTTAAAGTAACGAGCCTGAAATAATAGTAAAGAAAATAAGATAGAAAGTTGCATAAATACAAATGGTTAATGAGGGCAGTCGAGTGGAAAGTGCAGTTATGAAAAAAGAAAGCACTTCCCCGTGCAAATGTATTGCCTTGAACTATAACTTACCATGTCTGGGGAACTTTAAATGTATTTGCACTTATTAAAAAACAATAAATAAATTAAGTAAACAAGAGGAAATAAATAAATAGATCGAAACGAAACAACAGGTAGCTGCTTAGAGTGACCAGAAATTAGTATGACCGCTTGATGGGAGGAATAAAAAACCACATTATAAACCAGCAGTTAACTTCGCAGTTCATAGAACCCGCGTATTCAAAATATCGGACTTGACCAAAAAATAGTAATATCTACGATTTTAAATAAAAGTTAAGTTATATAGAACATATAACAAAAAAATGAAAGATTAGTCACTACCAATCGATTTCTTACGCTTTGAAGTTTTGGTTGGTACTGATCTTAAAGTTTTTACGGGGACCAAAAATTAATAATTTCCACTTGTTCTACCTAGAAATGATTTTGATAAAATCAACGAAAATTGAACTATAATTTTAATAGCGATTTTAAATTTAATTTAAATCCATTCCAAATGAAACTCAATTTTTGGTTAGACTTTAAAATGTATTTACCTTGCGACACAATTACACAAGTCAGAGCACACTGTTGTATTTAAATATTAAAACAACATCGCTTAGTTATTGTACAATAAAAAATATCTGCTTCCCTTTGCATACAAAAAATCTGAAACTGCACCTGATGATCTTAAAAACTAAGTACGTCCTCATCAAACAAGAAGTTATAGTATATATATGCGTGCGAGCCCCGGACGGCATCGCTTCAAAATGATTTAGTGAACATCAAAACTAAGAATTATAACTTAAAGAAGCAATAAGCTAATAACTTGTGTCCAAATGTTGTAGATAGTCGAAATATTAGTTGTATTTGTGGGGTTAGGACTGTAGTTGTAGTTGGATAGTTTACGCGCCGTCTCTGGCTAAAGGGCTCTAAGGCGTTTCCGTCTCATTTACAAAAACTAGTAGGCGTAAGTACGTCGGCCCACTCGCTGGCTGGTTAATGCACGTTGATGATGGACTCACGGCCCTTTCCGACGCCCACCCAGCGCACTGGGACACTCAGCTCGCTCTCGAGGAACCGGACATAGCTCTGGGCATTTTCCGGCAGCTCCTTGAAGTTGCGTATGTGCTCGGTGGATGTCTGCCAGCCAGGCAGCACGGCGTACTCGACCTCAATGCCTCCCAGCTCGGCAATGGTGCCCGGGAAGTGGTCGAGCTTCTCGCCGTTGGGCTTCTTATAGGCCACGGCCACCTTGATCTCCGGCAGCGTGTCGAGAATGTCCAGCTTGGTGAGACAGATGCAAGTGTAGCCGTTGACCAGCGAGGTGTACTTCAGCAGCGGTATGTCCAGCCAACCGCAGCGGCGCTTGCGCTTGGTGGTGACCCCGACCTCAAAGCCGCGCGTCTGCAGCAGGTCGCCAATTTCCTAGAAACCCAAGGATCATAAGCAAAATAGTCCACGGGTCATTTACAAAGCTGCCACTCACGTTCAGCTGCTCGGAGGGGAAGGGACCATCGCCCACTCGCGTCGTATAGGCCTTGACCACGCCAATCACCTCGCCAATCGTCTGCGGGGGCAGACCCAGACCCGTGAGAACACCGCCAATGCTGCAGTTGCTGCTCGTCACATACGGGTACGTGCCGAAGTCAATGTCCAGCATGGCCGCGTTGGCGCCCTCGACCAGGATCGTCTTGCCGTTGCGCAGGGCGGTGTGCAGGAAGCAAATGGTGTCCTTGACATAGGGACGCACCTTGTCGGCGTAGTCCTTGTAGCGGGCTAGCTCCGCCTCCACGTCCACGTTTATCGATGGGAACAGGCGCACGTGCGTGGCCACAATCGACTTGAACCTAATGGTGGGTCAAAGAGGCGGTTAGAATCTGGGTTCCCCGAGTTCCTCGGGCACTACTCCTCTCACTTGTCGCTAAACAGGTTGAAGTCGCCGAGCAGCTCGCCCACCCGGATGCCGTTGCGGGTGGCCTTGCTGGAGTAGGCCGGGCCAATGCCCTTCTTGGTGGTTCCGAGCGACTTGCCGCCCTTCTCGGCCTCCTGCATGCCATCCACATGCTGGTGGAAGTCGAACACCAGGTGAGCACGGTCGGAGATGATCAAACGGTTCTCCAGGTGCTGCAGTCCCTTGGCCTCGTTCTTCAGCACCTCGTCGAACAGCGAGGGCAGGTGGATGACGACACCATTGCCTGCAAATGTCAAGCCAAAAGTTTTAGTATTTGTTCTTCATCTGGGGGATTTCCCCATCTGCAAAGGCCGGGCATTAAGTGAGTAATAAATAACCAGAAAACTGCAGTTGGCAGTCATGTGATTGCAACTGCAGTGTGTCTTACGTCTAGTGTTTTTATAATTTTATTTAGAGAAAGTATTGCGTAAAGCTGAAATAAAACGCTTTCCGTAAGTTTACTTTCATTGTTTCGATAACTTTAATAAGCAATAAGCTTCAAGTCCAAAATAAAATTCACTATAAAGATCTTAAGTACCTCCGAATTTTGATGTGTTGCGTTCAAATGCTTGTATAATCGCCTTGAATTATTGTTCAATACATGTACTTTCTTTGGGGTTCCCAATAAAAAGTTATCAAGATAAGATATAACTTGAGAAGCTTTGAAGTCACATACATAAGTGCTGCTAGGTAAATCGAGTAATTTCACAGCCCTAAAAGCTAACTATCCATATCAGGGAAAGGCTTCATTGCAAAATAAACAGATCAGTTGACGAATTGGGGAGACCAAGTACACAATTTTGAAATCATAATGCCAAGGCACGCGAACAGGCTCAACGAACGGGGTCGTTTCGAATTGAGTTCCGAGCGGCTAGGAAATTAAAAATAATAAGTTAATTGCCTGATTAGAATAATTTTCCGCTACATGTCGGCCTGAGTGTGTTTGTGAGTGTGTCATAAATGATATCTAAAAGGCAAAAGCTTTCTGGGACTTTTTATGGGGTTCGCTGAGTTGGTGCGGTTCTGACTATCTCATAAATTAGACTATCTCATAAATTAGTCTTGTGACAAACGATGACAGTACGGATTGGGTTGTTGCTCTTGGCAAACAATGTCACCCACAACCACACACCGCACACCACACTTGCAACATCGATTAAACTTTGAAGCCCGTGGGCAGGACAAAGTTTGCGAAATACGAAAAATATTGACAACCAACGACCTTGGGGGTGACAGTCAGTGACGTCACTGTGACACTGGCTGGCACAAAGGTAACATTAGTTTCCCGACTCTGATTTAATTATCTCAATTGCTTATCTACCGAAATAGAAAAACCTTTCATTTTCATGGGCATGCGGCGTACCAAAGTCGAATAACAGACCAACTGACCCGCAAGCCAATGTCAATGATGCACTAAATCTTGCCAGAAATTCCTCGCCTACATCTGCCTTTGTATAAATCGGAACATATGCACATATATGAGTACATATATGTTTGCTCGATACGTTCAATTTCAGTTTGCAGCCGAGCGAGTGAAAACTAAAAGCAAAACAAACCGACAACAGACCGTATATTTACGAGCTATACTGTATGTGAAAATACTGTATATACACATTAAATTTAAATTTCAAATGAAGAAAACAAAAGTGGAATGGAAAGGAATTGCTTGCGTACTTTCATTGACAAACTCTTCTTATAGACAAAACAAAAATGAAATGGCGCTTGCTTACTTTCATCACCAACTATTCTTGCTTATAGACTCATAGTTGTTGCACAGATCCTTACAGATCCTGATTCCCGGTGCTCAACTTACCGATGACGGAAACACACTTCTCGTTCACAACACCACTGGGCAGCAGATGAAAGTCGAACTCCGTGCCATTGGCCACCACAGTGTGTCCAGCGTTATTGCCGCCCTGCGGAGACAAAAGTTTGAAAATTAGCCACTAAGTTTTCAAGATATACAAAATATACAAAGATATAGATGTTGATATACAAAATTAGCATTATTTGTTTTGTTTTCGCTTGTACGGCGGCGTAGAAGAAAAACAAAGTTTGTGAGAAAAATAAATAAATAATATACATAGGTATATTTTGCAAATTGTATAACACAGAACCCATCGAATGGGGAATACGTATTTGTCCCACGTGCCCCTCAAATATCAAATGACAATAAACGAGAACGAAAACGTTCCACAACACATACAGATATAGATAACTACGAGTATCTCACGTAAGCACACGAGAAATTTAATGTGTTTTTCCTTTTCATTTTGGCAACTGTACAAATTTTTCTACATTTTGCTAATCTAACAAAATTTGTTTTGTATTTTGTATGTATATTAATACACTGTAAGGGGAATACAACAAAATGATTAGCGGCAGGGGAAGAGTGGAAATTCTGGAACCTTCACAAATCATTGCTAAAAACCAAAAACAAGATAATCAACAAAATGTTTACGCAGTGCCAAAAAGGGGGCTTATAGCCATAGCCCCGGTCTATGATAAGATACGGGGAAATGGCGAGATCGCAATCAAAAGTCCCGGTTCCAGTTCCCGTCCGTGGCAATTGCGGATTTCACAATATGAACTATATGCTTTAAATTATAATGTCGTAAACGGAATCGCCGTAGGGGCGTGTCAGTCGTGTGGTGACTCAGTTATAGGGCGCGATAATCAACTGGGACTGGGAACGGTATTATATAAGGGCACCTGATAAGACCTATTCGATTCCGCTGAGCAACTATGTTGGTTAGAGCCTACTCTCCGCGGCATACGGCATATCGTCCATTGAACTGCGTAGATGGTTCTGGGAAATCAACAAGTGGCCGGACATAAACAATCCACTAAAAACACACAAAGCCCTATTGGCAGGGCCTGTCCCAAGTTCTGCAAACACAGCTCGACGGGAAGCCCATGATTCTGCATGGGTTGCATTTTAGTGGACCCAGTGGTTCTAGGACAAAGTCCCCAAGTTTCTGGTGAATGATGTTGGCGGTTATGTAAACCTAGCGGTCCGCTGAGCAAGCAGCACAGATGTGTGAAACAGGGATGGGGATAGGAATTAACGTCAGAAGGGGAGAGAGAGACGGCGAGCGAGAGCAGGAAAGAGATGGCCAACACCAGTGACGAATTTTGCTGCGCCAGCATTGTTGGCAGACTTGCTGACGGAATACAAGCGCTGTTGGCTACCGATTGCCAGAAGTAGCT